AGTCTTATAAGATATTTTGGTCAATTTTTAAAAAATAGAATTTCTACTCACATAAAAATATAATATACATAAGAATGAACAAAAATAAATAATATAAAATTAAAGGCAATTTAATTTATCAATAAGGAAAAATATTTTTTCACTATAACAAGTCCAAGCAGAGTCCATTTTTTCACAAGGAGCCGTACAGAGTATAAATAGCAAAAGGACAGCAAAAGTTTTTGACAAAAGGCACGAGAAGACACCCCTTTTATTTCCCCTAATCTATGGCAATATCAAGCCCTAGAATCTCACTGCCACTCTTCTTCCTCTTCATTTTGCTCCTCTCATCATCGGCATCTCCATTTTCTTCTTCTTCGAAATCTTCTCGAGTACTACTGGCATTCCAGAGGAACAACAGAAACAGTCGGATCCCGAGCTGTACTGACATGGTTTCCAGATCTCAGTGCTCTCGTAACTCAATATGCCGCTGGTGTCGCAGCAGTGTTCTAGATGACATGTGCTTTAGCAGAGCCGAGGCTTCCAGGTTACCGCACCAAGTATTCTCTTGTGATTCTTGATTCTCTTGTTACTTTCTCTCCTGCGTCTTGGTTGATTTCTTTTTCTCCTCTGTTTTTTGTTTGTCCATATCGTGATCCACTACATTTCTTGAGGTTGAATTAATGAAATTAGCGAAGTTATTAGAGGTGCTGTTATATTCATTTTCATGTTGATGATGATGCTCCAAAATTTTTGATGTCTTAATTTGTCTTTGTTTTTCCTTTTTGAGAATCCATTTGATTTGTTGGTTTATGAAATTGCGATTTGAATTGGTGGCCATAGGACTAGATTTTTATGCAGATAGCATTAGATTTATATATATAAATATATATAAAATTCGGCGAGGATCTCCATTTTTCATTTTTAAACGCTAAAGGCATTTCCCAACGATTTTAGATCAGCAGTTTCTTCAAAAACTAAAGAGGAAAGAGAAGAATGGTAAAAACTGAACGACCAAAAATCAAAATGTGCTCAAATATTATATTTTCGAAATTTTTAAATGGAATTCGAGATGGAATTAGAGAAGGAAAAAAAAAAAAAAATATTAGTAATCTTCTTTGGTTTTTATTAGAAAAATAATGAAAAATTAGTTTCGTGTAATTATTTTAATTCATAAAATGCACCAAACTAAATTATCAAAATTTTGAATAATTTTTATACTTATTATACAAAAGATATCATTTAGAAGGAAATAAATATTATTAAAAGTGAAAATATTTTTAACGAGAATATAAAAAATTATCATACTTATATATTTTTTTAGTGGAAGATTTAAATGACCTTATATAGTGCATATTTATAATAAATTAAAATTAAATTCTATTTATATATATATTTAAAATTTAAATAGATAAAATCATAAATATGTGATAAAAGGATATATAAGTAGTACTAATTGATTAAGTTTTTTTTTTTAAAAAAAATTAAAATAGAATAAGATGGATATATAATAATGCTCAAGACAAAATTAATCTCGAAACTAACTAGAGAAAGTTCATTATAAAAGAATAACTATCAACATTTTACCCATGATAATCTCGGACTTTAAATTCTACCCTAGTTTATGATCGTAAGGAAAATGCAAAAGTAGTTGTTAAGCTAGAGATTCTTTTCCACTTTTATAAATGGACTAGTTATTAGGAGCAAATTACTTAATCTAAGTAAAATACGTATTTAATAAATTAAATATATATGCTTTTAAAAATAACTTGTACATTCAATGATTTGATTATAGTACTGCGCTTAAGTAATAATATGTTTATTATTATATGTAATTTATATATATATATATATTTGCATAAAATAACAGTGTACATATATATGTATTTGTATCTGTGAATATATGTTATGTATATCAGTGTATATGTACACTTGTGATACATATCGTAACTGCTATTATAAGATTATATATATATATATAAAATATATAATATACTATTCATGTTATACCATTTTTTTAACATGTATATGTACAACATAATATATTACATTATATATATAATATAGGCGCTAAATATTAAACTGCTCCTATACGTATTATGTATACAATTAAAACAGTATAATATATATAGTACACATATTTAAAACGAAAGAATAAAATATCATTGATTAGGTGAAAAACAAAACAAAACAAAGAAAAAAAAAGGGTTCTTTAACAAATGTTAGTATTTAAACTTCCTTTGGTTATTGGGAAGAATTTCTCAACCAATTTAAACTTTAATATTAATGGTAAATACTAATTTTTTAACATTAAATATAAAAATCTAATAATAATTATAATAATATATATAAATATAATATTATAAGCTAAATAAATAAATACAGGATGTAACCAATAAATTCCTAACTGTCAGTTTTCAGTTCCAGGTTAACAACCATCTCAACTCCACTCAATTTAAACTAAAAATAACCTCACCATCATTTAAATACTTCCTCCCTCATGCGTATTATGTAGCTTCGGCTCCGAGCCTAGGTTCTCTCTGACCGTTACACCGAACCTAGTTTTGAAATCCCCTCTTAACCCCCTTCTCCTCCCTTCCGTAAGCAAATCAGACAGTAAACAAAATGGGTTCCAACAAGATGTTCAAGGTTACTCCAACCAAGTCTCGGAAGACCCACCGTCACCACAATCGCTGCTGCCACCGTTTACGCCGCCATAGGAGGACTTCTCCTCCTCGCTGCTCCCCTGCCGCCAATGCAGCTACCGCCGCCATTTTTGACGCGCTCAACAAGTCCATCTTCACCTGTCAACGTCGCCTTCTCCGTCTTTTCTCCAAACTAGCTCGTATCGCAACCCCTGGCAGCAACCGCCCAACCAAAGGCTTCACCATTTTGAAAAACCGATTTCCTGACCCGGAACCCGAACCCAAACCCAAACCCAGACCCGTATCCAGCTTCATCGCGCCCCGAGCACTCTCTTTTGACGGGGACGACGACGCTGTTGCAGTACCCAAAGAGGATAAGAAGAAGAAGAAGACGATCTTCTTGGATCTGGACGAGACGTTGGTGCATTCGACTCTGCAGCCGCCGCCAGTGAGGTTCGATTTCGTGGTGAGGCCGAGGATCGACGGGGAAGAGTTGACATTTTTTGTGGTGAAGCGGCCGGGGGTCGACGAGTTCCTGGAGCGGATTGCAGAGCGTTACGAGGTGGTGGTGTTCACTGCGGGCCTGAGGGAATACGCATCGCTGGTGCTGGACAGGCTGGATCGGAAACGGATAGTTTCCCACCGGTTCTACCGGGATTCATGTAAGCAGATGGACGGGAGGTTCGTGAAGGACCTGTCGACGACGGGGAGAGACCTGGGAAGCGTGGTGATTGTAGATGACAATCCGAACGCCTACTTCTTGCAGCCGGAGAACGCGGTGCCGATCAGTCCGTTCATCGACGATCTAAAAGACAGGGAGTTGAAAAAACTGGTGGAGTTCTTTGAAGGGTGCGAGGGGGTTGATGATATTAGGGTGGCCATCAAGAAATTTCTTGGTAAGAACTAATACAGATATGTTCTGAAAGATTTCCATTTTGGTTTTGGCATGGGGTTTTGGATCTTTTGTTTTTTGTAGGTTTCTGATTTTTTGCGTTGAACAAACAATTGGGTTTGTTCAATGTTGGATAATTGTCTGTATGATCAATATAAAAATTGTATCTGTCTGTACCTGTTTTATTTAGCAGTGATCTATGGTTTATTGGATTACATTTCTCTCTCTCTCTCTCTCTATCGATCTATCTCTATCTCTTCCTTTTCTCCCTTCTCCTTTGCTGGGTCCTGTATGGTTTTGATTCTTCCATGGATGAACAGATGAGAGGAAAGGGAATCATGTAATTTAGTTGTCTCCGTAGACACAAAAATTTCAAAAATAAAAACTAATACATATATATATAAATATGTTTTTCATTTACCAAATAATTGATATTGATTTGAGTTTAATTTATTAATGAATAATTGAAAATACAAATTTATGACTGTTAAATAAAAAATATAAATAGAATTTATTTAGTTATCTTTAAATATATAAATTATGAATAAAATAATTAAAATATTGGGCTTACAATTAAAACTAACACACACCTATGGAAATGTAAATAATGAAAGTTGTCTACACGCAACATAACATATTATTAGTGTTTGATTTCTTAAATCAATTGTTTGTAATTGTGTCTCTAACAAATCAAATTACATTGAAATATTATTTCAATTGTAAATTACTAATTAAGTCCCACTAATTTAATTTAATATTTATTATTATTATTATTATTATTATTATTATTATTATAAATAGCACTCAAAATTTTTAAATTTTTTAAAAATCAATTTGGAATAGAAATTTGATAAAACTACGAGTCTTGTACAATTCTGTCTCCCCTCATTTTCCTCACATCTCTTCTCTATAAATTAGAATGTATAGTCCTAAGTCCTTATCCCCTCTTACTACTGATAGAAACAAGTTGTTGTCCTTCGCCAAACAACTTATTTTAATGTGCTCTTTGGCAGCGTATGGATTCTTTGCAAAGATTGTTTAAGTGCTAAATTTATTTACCCTCCATACCAATTTATTCATTGAAGGATTGACTATTATAGTATAGTAGCATTACCTGCCTTTTTATTTCTCTTCATGCTCATTTAAAAAAAATATGAGGATCTAATTTTATTAGTATTGCAGTGAGCCTTAATGGATAAAAGTAGAATATGGAACAAAAAAATATTTAGACATATAAGCAAAACTAAAAATAATCTCTAAAATAGGATTTGAAGGATTCAAAAGGGTCTTCTGTACCGTGATTGTTCTTTTCTTTACAACTTTGAATTTGTTCTTAAAGCCTGTTTTTTTTTTTTATATCTGTATGAGAGAAAAAAATTTCTAGTTTTAAAAACTTTATATGAATGGCTTAACATTATTGATAAAAAGCACAAACTTTTACCATACCATTGTAAAATTAAAAAGAATCTAGATTTACATAACTAAAATTAGGGACCTTGATGGCAACATAGTTGACAAGGCTAACAACCTATGTAACGGCCCAAAAAATTTAAACAAAAATATATGTATTAAAAATTCTAAGTGCGGAAACGAAATAAAAATTCTGATAAACATCCCTTACATAATAATCAAAAACGTATTCAACGTGTGAAAGAATAAACTAACTAAGGTAAATACTAGTAATGAATACTATAAATAAAACTGTGAATTCCCTATACGTCTACTCGCCGTCTTCTTGCGGGACGGGCTCGGGAACAAAATCCTCTTGATTTGAAATGGTTAAATAAGGAATGAGCTACACTAACCCAGTAAAAACATCACACTATCTCACTGTCACAGATGTAAAGGTTTGTAGAAAAATAAAAACAATCAATGAAGTATAATTCATGATAAATTCATTTATCAATAATAAAAACCTTTACTGTCCACTTACCTCGGTGAGATTCGTGAAAATAACATATGAAAATAATAATATTGTAACCATCATAAAATCATATACACTTTGTAATGTAACACATGTTATACTTTTGTACCTCAATAATCAGACAACAAATTCTCTCTTTTACCAGCCTACTAGTATCCATGGGGATCCATAGGGGTCCCGCTACCCGTGAACCTTTAACATTTATAACCTGATTCCAGGGTTGTCCCCATACCCCGTCCGGTATGGGCGCCAAAACTATAAACCTCAATACCCCGTCCGGTATGAGGGTGAAACAGGCCGTCCCCATACCCCGTCCGGTATGAGGGTGAAACAGGCCGTCCCCATACCCCGTCCGGTATGGGCGCCAAAACACATAAGGTCTCCATACCCCGTCCGGTATGAGAGACCACAATCCTGGTAGGGTTCCCTACGGACCCGGTCCGTCCACCATCTCCCAGGATATCTAGTCAGGCTGATCACATTATACAATTATCAATTTACATAACATTTCATTCCCCTTTTCCTCAGTCAGCATCATCAATTCACACACAAACAAGTAAAACAGTAATTTATGCCAAACAAGACAACATACAGCATCGGTTACTCAGTCATTCAACCCATAATTAATAAAACAGTAAAATATGCACATGAAACTATGAAATGAAAACATCAGACCTCATACTGCATTTAAAACTGTAAAATAGACCAAATAACAGTTAACCGATAAACACACTAGACTCGGGCTCCATTAGCAACCTTAAGCAATTTCACACATTCGTTGATTCAAGAAATACCGTTTTATCATTATTAAACTTTAATACCGTGATAGGAAATAGGGTGAGAGGTCCTTACTCGTTTCGAGGTTCGAACACGGTTTCACAGTACGCCTACAGGCTGTCCCTAATTTTCCTTGAATTTTTCCCGGGGAACTGAAACGCACTACTGGTACCTGCACGTATTCCAAAAAATCCTAAATTAGACCCAGGGCTCCTTTCGGCCAATATCGCAATTCCGGCACGGTGGCTCCGCCGTGCTCCGGCGACGGCGCCGCCGCAAGCGACGACGATTCGCCTCGAGTTGGCCGTTTTCAGCCGTTTTCGGTCGAATTCGGCCACACTTACATCGGTCCCTGTGATAAAACAACCCTAGGGCCCTCGGGGGACCAAAAAATTACGAAAAACTGAAGCTTACCGGCGGCGGTGCTCTCGGGTGCGGCGGCTCTCCGGTGAGGTTCGTGTTTTGGTGATTCGGCTCCGATCAACCTGTAGAGAAAAGAATGGTGATCATGGTGATATAAAAATTGCATCAAACGGAGGTCGGGAAGGGCCTCATTGGAGGCAAAAATCGAGGAGGGGCGCGGCGGCGCTGCTGGGTTTCGGCCGTGTTTTCCGGCCGTTTGGCCGAGATTTTAGCTCTGATTTGGCCACAGGGGAACTCAGCGTGGAAAAACGAGTCGGGGGTATGAAATTTACCTCGATCAGCGGTCGAAAATCTCCCCGGTGCGGCAGCGGGTGGCGGCGGCAGACTCTTCCGGCGTCTGGTTCGTCTTCTCCGGCGAGGGCAGGCGGCTAGGGTTTTTGTGGTCAGGTGTGGGGGTTCTATTTATACCCTTTTACCTTTTGATCTCAGCCGTCCATTTTGATTAAATTTGGGCCGTCCGTTTTTGATTGAATCTGGGCCGTCCGTGCGCGTGCATCTGGGCCGTCCGTGCGATTGCATCTGGGCCGTCCGTGCGCACGCTTGATCCGGGCTGTCCGTGCGCGCGGGGACGCATCTGGGCCGTCCGATCCGCGCGCACGCGGATCGCCCACGTGGCCCGTTCCCTCGACGTGGTCTTGCCACGCGGCAGGTCCTGGTTGGCCAGGGCTGCTGACTGGGCCGCTGACGTGACTGCTGACGTGGTGCTCTTTTTTTTTTAAATTATACTAAATAAAATTAATACTAACAAAAAATGCCCAAATTGTTTGGGCGTTATAGGTCCCCGCTACACGTGAACCATTAACATTAATAACTTAATTTCAGGGTCGTCCCCATACCCCGTTCGGTATGGATGCCTAAAAACCATGAACCTCAATACTCCGTCCAGTATGAAGGTGAAACGGGCCATCCCCATACCCCGTCCGGTATGGGGCATCAAATCATAAAGTCTTCATACCCCATCTGGTATGAGAGACCACGTTCCCGGTAGGGTTCCCTACGGACCTGGTCCGTCCACCATCTTTCAGGATATGTAGTAAGGTGTCAACATTATCCATTTATCAATTCACATACTTTTTTTTTTTATTTTTCTTGGTCTCATTATCCAATCAAATATAAACACGTAAACCAATAATGAACACCAAACAATACAACAACGGGTTCACAATAATTCAAACCATAATAAACGAAACCATGATTCATGCATACGAAACCATAAAATAAATACATCGGATACCACGCTGCATTATAAACTGTAAAATAGATCAATTAACAACTGACCGAAAAATACATCAGATTCGGCCTCCATTAGCAACCTTAATTAATTATACAGAATTCATGAAATATTGTTTTATCATTTATTGAGCTTTAATACCGTGATAGAAAATAGGGTGAGAAATCCTTACTTGTTTTGGGGTCTGAAATCGGCTTTACAATGTGCCTACGAGCTGTCCCTAAATTCTCTGAATTTTCTCCGGGAAACTGAAACGCACTACCGGTACCTGCACGTGTCCCAAAAAATCCCAAATCAGACCCAGGGCCCCTTTTCGGTCAATATCGAAATTTCAGCACGGCAGCTCCGCCGTGCTCCGACGACGGCACCGTCGCTCGCGGCGGCGATCTGCCTCGGGTTGGCTGTTTTCGGCCGAATTCGACCAAACTTGCATTGGTTCCTGCGATAAAACAACCCTAGGACCCTCGATGGGCCAAAAAAATCACGAAAAATTGAGATTTACCGGCGGTGGAGCTTTCGGGTGCGGCGAATTCTCCGGCACGAGTCACGATTTGATGTTTTGCTCCGGTCAACCTGTAGAGAAAAGGACGGTGATCACAGTGGTGTAAAAATTGCATCGAACGGGAATCGAAAAGGGCCTCATCGGAGGCAAAAATCGAGAGAAGTCGTAGCGGCGCCGCTGGACTTTGGCTTTTCGACCGATTGACCGGTGGTTTAGCTCCGATTTGGTAATTGGCGGATTCAGCATTAAAAAACGAACCAAGGGGAGAAAATTTACCTCATTTGGCAGTTGGAAAATCCTCCGGTGCGGTGGCGGGTGGCGGCAGCCAGCTCCTCTGGTGACTAGTTCTTCTTCTCCGGCGAGGGTACTGGTAGCTAGGGTTTGGGATTGGGTGTGGGTGAGGTTACTTCTAACATTTCCCTTTT